TTCAGTGGAATTTTTAATGCCACATTCTCACATGATCAAATATATGTACATACATATATACAACTTGTGACTTTTAGGAATAAATTTAAGCGTTTTACATACATGTGTACATATTTACATATTTGTTTAAATATGTATATTAAAGTGTATAATGTGTGGTGAGTCCGAAAAAAAAAAATTAATGATGACATACATACAAACAAACACAATAGTGTATGAAATAATTTTTATTTTCCATATTTATACGAATTTTGAACTTTTACTTTTGCTCAAATCACTAACTAAAAGGCTGAAAAGAAAACTTTTGCTATGCCACAGGCATGGTCCAGCCTTATGCGAGTACATGCTCAGTGAAAATCACCAATGTGAGGATTAGGAAGGTAGTAAAATTTTTTAAGGCAAATAATTGATCGACCAAATAGTTTCGAGATGTTTTCAATCAAACTTAGAATATAAAAATAAGCAAAAAAAATTTTCCAGCATGAAATTGAAAGAAAGTTCTAAAAATATTTTAATCCTTAATTTCATGATAATCATTGTAGTCCAACTTTTGACCAATGAAATTTTTTCGAAATGCTTTCAATCGGTTTTATAACGAATGCAAGCAAACAATTTTCTCCGCATGAAATTGGAAAAAACTATTAAAACAGATTAATCGTGAATATTGCATTGATTTCTTTTTCCCAATCATCGTGCCAATATATATGCTAAATCGTTTCGCTACCTCAACCTCAAATATCGCTACTTTAAATGAAGGTGTTTTCGAAGACCCGAATGTGTCTGTTTATCGACGTTCTCACCAGCTGGTACTTTTGTACGGCGCACATAAAGTCCAGCACACACAACAACTGAAGCCAGCTAACCATTCAGAACACCGTACGCACTTCGATTGGGACAAAACTTCCTCAGCGACGAGGCACATTTTTCACTGGGAGATCGTAAATAAACAAAATTTCAGCATTTGAGGTTGCAAGAAGTCCCCAATAATTGGAAAGATGTCAATACACCAAAAAAAAAGCTTACTATCTGGTACGCTCGTTGGTCCGTAGGTGTGATTGATTGGACCTTACTTATTTGACGACAACGACAATGGCGAAGTGAAGAACACAACTTGGATCACGTGCCACACAACACGAGCGAATATGGCTTTACTGCGAGAGAAGCTTCCCGGTCGCGCAATCTCTCGTTTTAGTGACCAATTGACATCGTTGGACTTTTAAATGATTCCACGCGTAAGACCGTGTTAATGATGATAAAGATTTAACTCTTGAGAACCGATTTTCGTCACCTTCTGTCTGAGATGCCGCCTAATAAGTGCTCAAAAGTGATCGAAAATTACCCCAAATGGATCGATGTAAAATCGGCGATGCGGTCATTTGAATAGTTTAGTGTTACACTATGTAAAATGCAAAGGTTCCAACTTCATATCAGAAAAAGAATTTCAGGAAAAAAAAGTATTTTATATTTAATTTCAAAAGCATAACCTTGTATAAATATTTTTTTGTTCCAGTCAATTTTAGTTGACATTAAAGGAATACAGACAAATATATATATATACTCGTACATAAAAAGAATGACGTGTATGGGATTTCTTTAGAATATTTCAATAATTTCCGTTTCCCACTTTACTCACTGACAATTATTTGTTGGAATTCCCATAATAACCATTTAATAATAATTTATTTAGTGATAAGACATTTGACAAGTATCTTCGGGGGATTATTTGCGGGATTTCTTGTGATCATTTAATTAAATAATATTTTAATGGACTTTTGTTTGTGGTGCGCCAATGATAACTGAAATTTTAATTCAATTTATTTTTTCTGTTTTTTGGTTTTTTGTTGTTGTTAATGTTAGTTTTAAATATTTTCCCTAGAGGCCTACGTGATATTGGTCACATTGCACTAATATTGTAAGTAGATTAAAGTTTAATCCAGTCATTTAATCATTACTATTTAATGTACATCCACTGGAAATACGGTCACGTGAAACTTATTGAGGAAAGAGCAATTCATTCTTCACACAAAGCATTGATAATAAATTTAATTAATTAAATATTGGTTCAGGGCATACAGTTATAACACTGAACTTATGTTATCATTAATTTCGTTAGCTGCAGTACGTACAGCACGATTTTCTACGTAACACGTGAATTAAAAGGTTTTTACAAAGAAATATAAAATAAAAATTTAAATAAAAAATAAGCATAAATTAAGTTAAACACAATAAAGCAAAAATAAAATGAAATAAATAAAAAATAAATGAAATGAAATTACAAAAAAAAAAAATAAGAAAAAAAAAATATTCATTAAAAGTTTAGAATCAAATAAAGTAAAATAAAACTAAAAAAAATAAATAAAAAATCCCAATTAAATAACAAGAGTATGAAGCAAAATAAAATAAACCATCAAAAGAGTAATTTTGTATATTTTCATTGGTAATTTAATTTTTGCCAAGCAATTTTTAGATAAGCCATTACAAATTATTTACATAAAAATTTGCGTATTTTGGTTGAAAATTCTAATCGCGCTAGCCAAACGTTTGAAAATGTTCGAATTCTCAAAAAACTAGAATTTCAGTCACAAATTATTAATTCAAATTCGCCTTTAAAATGAAATAAATTACGGAATTTCATCATACTAAAATTTTTTATTAATACCGGAAAGCAGTGACGGCTACCGAAATGTTCGGCAAATAAAAAGCTAAGAAATTATAATAAGAAAAGGCTAAGGCATTTATTTAAAAAATGATTACAAAACTTTAGTCGACGGTCGTCTACCGCCGAATGGGTAATTTAGAACAATCTTTTTATAATTAATTGCTCGTAAAATATATATGTATGTACATATGCACACCAACAGTTTTATTTATTTAGTTAAAAAAAAAAAAGATCATGCGTATCCACATTTTTATGCTCAAATATTTACTTAAGAACATAAAGTGTTTGAATTTAATAGTCCAATTTCCTTGCTGATAACAAAATTCAAACAAAATGCATGTATAAACCCTTGTACATACTCTAGTAGTAGTGCATGAATGTAAGTGTATACATAAGCGCTTATTAGGTGTGGACTTACTTATGAGTTTCAGTCACGAGATAACACCATCACGTGATATGTGTGCACTAAACGCTTTTTTGTTCTTCGATCCGCCTGTACTTACACGTATGTACATATACACTTAACTACTGCCGACATACATAAATGTATGTACACACATAGGACTATAGGAAATTATTCGAAATTAACGTATGAAAAGTGGCGGTTGCTTGCAGTTTAGCATGATAAGAATATATGCAATTATTTCAAATTCTTTGCACCGTTTGACGTTGATTGTATGTGCATATGTATACATATGTATGTAATAGCTTAAATAGCATGTATGAAGAAATGTATGGCAAAGTATGTGGAAAATGTTGTCGTAGGTCATTGACTAAATACATACATATGTATGTATTATGTAATAGTGCAGATATGTGCATTGCAAGCCGTTCATGGAATTTAGAGCATATAATACACGTATGTTCCTAAGTGAAACGCATACATATTTAAAACTGATAGCGCAAAAATTGTTTTAATCATATGTTTTAAGTACGTATATGTAAATTATATTGGTCTGTATTGGAAATATGCTACGCATCAAGTTTGTGTAATTTATTTTAATTTCAAATCAAACAAATCAAGTAAAATAAAGAAGTTAAACATCTTCATACTTAACTGGGGTTTAACAGTATGCAGGGATATTTTCCAAAGGTTGCATTTTTTATTTAATTTTCTTTCGAATGATTTTTATCATAATTTTTTTTCATTTATTTTTAGTTAATTTTATCTTAATTTTTATTAAGTAGAAATGAAATGGGTTTTTTTTTATTTATTTTTCCACTATATTTTCTCTTATACATTTTACTTTAGTTAGAAGCTTTCCTTATTTTGTTTTGTTTTATTTTCTCTCTTTTATTTTATTTTATATTACAATACTTTAATTATTTTCATAACCTTCATTTTATATTTACTATAATTTATTTGTATTTAGTTAACTTAGATTGAATTGATTTTATTTTATTTTTCGTCATTCTTTTTATTTGATTTTATTCTGTTTTTGTTTGTTTAACTCTATTTTATTTTATTTTACTTAATTTTTTTCCTGTTTGAGTTTAGTTAATCTTATTTTATTTTAATGCTGTTTTTCTAATTTTTTTAATTTCTATTTAATATTTTCTTCTTTTTTATTTAATTACTTTAAGTTTTTGGTATTCTTAAATAATAATTCGCATTCAATTTAGGTTTTTAAAGTAATTTGTATGCCAGCACCTTACTAGACGACGTTTTTTACCTTTCGACCAGTCTCCTAATGGGTTTTGTCCTAGATAGCCAATCCAAATTCGTGTTAAATTTTTTTCCTCTTTTTAATATATTTTATTTTATTTTACATTATTAAATGTTGTTGCATTTCATTTAATTTTTTTACTTTTTATTTTAATTTAACACATTTTATTTTATTTCCTTATTCCTCCTTGAGTGCCATATTGCACTGTTGCCAGTCCCGTAATTGTTCGCGTCTTCAATCTCGACTGGTCCCCTATTGGGTCTTGTATATGCTAAGCAATCTGATATGACTTAACATTTGCACCTTCTCATTATGTTATATCAACATTCTGTGTTATTACATTAACATACAGTAATGTAGTGATCACTGATGTTAAAGCTATGCTAATTAACATTAAGTTAGTAACATTCATACACAACGCAAACACAAAAACGCAGCATAATTTTAGGCATTATGAGCTGACTATAATCGTTACAGATTATTTTATATGATTTCGAAATAAACAACAATATTAAAACTTTTTTATGTTATTCATTCCTTAGGTTTGCCAAATCAGGACAGTGGATAATAAAAAAATTATTTTGAGGCGTCTACATTTTTAGTTCGTCTTAATTCCACTATATTCACTTGGAGAAATCCATAAAAGTATTAATTGCATAATCCTAACTACTCACCGTGATATGAAACTGTAACGAATGAGATTTGTACACATGTCTCAGTGCAGCCAATTGGTTTTAGTGTGCGTACAAATTGGCCATCCTGTATGGTATACACATTAACAGTGCCGTCCTAAAATATAATTTTTTGGAGTTTCTGTATACACACACATATGTATTTATCTTCTTATCATTACCAGTGAGCCCGAAACGACCATATCCAATTCTGTATAAATCGCGACGCTGGAAATGGCATCATCATGTCCATAGAGCGTGGTAAGCGGTTTGGGTGAGAACATATTTTGTGTATTCAATTGTGTGACAGCCTGTAAATGCGCCTGGCCAGTCAGCGCGTGCATTGGAATGTTTGTGGTCGCCGGTGCATTGCCATATTGTTGACTTTGTATACTCCAAACGATGCAGGTACAGTCGCGTGAACCGGTTACCAGGTAGGAACCGCAGTTATCCAGCGCCAGGCACGTGATGATGTCTAAATTATATTTAGAATTTAGTTAAAAAAAATTAAAAATGTAATATCGACGGAAATAAACTCAACATACCCAAATGACGCGTCACAGATGCCACTGCTTTGCCCTTATGTAAGTTATACACACGCAACGAATTATCCCAAATGCCGCCGGCATACAATAGCTTGCCGTCTGTGCTTACAGCGAATAATTGTGAGTGCGGTGTTTGTGAAGGATGGAAAGGACCAAAGATGCGTTTGCGATTTCTAAAAATAATCAAACGGAATATACTGTTAACTGTCACAAATATGCTTACACCGTCGCTCACTTCAAATTGGTTGTTGTCGCATCAATCTCCAGCAAAAAGCCTCGATCTTTGTCAAAAGACATCCACGAATTGGCGCCAAGTATACACGATTTCGATATGCTGACCAGCACATCAGGACTCAGTTGTAAGAATGAACGTGGCGGACTGCGTGGTGCACTTAGGAAGACAATTGGATCTTTTGGCGTTGATAACTCACAATAATATTGCACAACCTTATCGAGGAATTGCGTAAGATCGGGTCGTTTCAATTCGGCGCGCACCAATTTGATTGACGTCTCCTCTTGTGTCAAACGACGTGGGTGTGGTTCGCGCAGCAATTGTGATGGCACTTGACCGAAGTTGTTGATCATACCTTCAACAGCTTCACGTTCAATAGGATTTGTGATTTTATCCAAATCAACAGCTCCTTCATATGAACAATAATAAAAAACATTGAGCGCTTCGACAGCCTTTGGGCCTTTTTGTTTGTAGCTGTGGGAAAGGGCGATAGGGGCTAAAGCAAATTTAATTTAATTTTTTGTGTTAAAACTCACCCGAAAATCAAATCAATCCAATGATGTAGATTTTGACTCACATACTCTGATTCTAAAGCACGTCGGTGTATAGCTATAAACTCTTCGGGTGTGTTCGCCCATGTCGGCAGTATGACATCATCTACCTTTTCTTTTGTTATTTGCAGATGACCCAAATCGAATCTGAAAAGGTATGGTTTTGAAAGAAATGCAATATTGTTGGTAATACACAAACATACTTATTCATATTTTTGAGAAATTCCGGAAAATAAAAGAATTCCGGTATTAGCTCCTTCACATCATTCGGATTGTCCATTAATAATTTCCATGTTTGCGGTATTGAATGGAATTGTCGGTCCGCAACATCGAAGCGTCCACTTTGCAGTTCAATATGTAGCGAGGTAAATGGTTCAACGCGCAGTAAATAATGTAGAACACCACCTGAATTTGAGTAATGTGTGCCGTAATGAAATTTCGGTATCGCGCCTGAGGGATCCTCAAAGGATTCATATTTGATGCGTACGCCAGCTTCGTTTTTGGGGTTTATCTGAGGGAGGGTTTGTAACGAGTTATTACATGCTGAAATAAAAGAAGTATGAGATATTGAAATTATATATTACTTACCACGCCGACTGGTTTAGAGAGATCGCGAAAAGATTTAGGATCAGTCAAGTCCAAAACATCACTGGTATAATCGGCCAATATCCACGGAAATACTGGATACTGACTGAGGTCGTTGTAGGAGCGACCTGCAAGTATGTAGTATATAAAAGAAAGTGAATATAAATATATATAATTGAAACTTTGTAACCGCTGAAGCGATTTTGGGTGGAGAATGTGAACTACAAATAGTCTATTGAAGAAAGCGGCGGAATGTAAGCCACATTTTACCACTCTGGCCTACATTTAGGCTCATGACGTTGATTGAATTACAGTAATGGTGATAAAAACTATTTAGTGATTTATTAATAAAAAATACTTCATTATTTAATCTATAGTGTGCTCACCGGCAATTGTGTTCAAGTACATAAGATATTCGAAATTTGATATCTCACGATTCACCCATTTCTGTGTTAGTCCGGAAGCGCGCAGCAGTTCTCCTGGCGAACGACCAGAGCCATATAAAATATTTGGCGGTTGCAGGCTCAAAATTTTCGTAAAAACTTTATTGCGTGTCTAAATCAGTGGTTAATTAAAAGAAAATTAAATTTCTCTCATATATAAATATATTTTTGTATATTCGTATAGACGCACCCTTGTTGTAAAATTCAGAAAATAACTAGTTTGGTCAATTAAAAATATTTCCAAAGCGCTACGCCGCAAATTATATTTACGCAGATGCACCTCACGTATTTTGCTAATCGGAAAGCTTGAGAAAGGGAAATTTTTGTTTGATTAAAACTCAATTTTCCAAAAAAAAATGACTACCTTTACTTACCGAAAATCATGCTTGGAGCCATCTTCCGATGGTGGACTCAAGTCAATAAAGGTGAACAACGTTTGATTCACCTCGATTTTACCTTTCACCTTTGTCATCAGCGTAATGAGCTCACAGTCTTGTGAAATGACTGATTTTTCCAGCGGCACGTCCTGTTGCGATTGCGCTTCAATTGATTGTCGCAGCTCCTCTTCGAGTTGTAGATTCTCATCGTCCGCTAAGAAGTCGCGTACAACGGCATTTTTAATTGTCGAATCGAATTCCGAAATTTCTCTAAATTTGAAATTTGAATATTTTATTTTATTTTTAGTTGTTGTTTTTGGTTTCAAAAGTATTTTGCTCGTTACCTCGGATCATAGGCATTTGTGGCATTATCACGGAGGTTCGCCGCGTTCTCGTGCTTATTTGGATATAGCTGTGGTTCGAGTTTGAGACGCATGCGTGCGACATTCTCGTGATTGGAGAGCATCCAAAATTCTTCAGATGGATTGCTGGAAAAATGAGAAGCATTTTGCGGTTAGCTTAGGCTTGGCCTTAGGAATAAATAAGATTTAGTACTGATCTCAATGCCCTCTTATGCATAAGTATGTATGTAAAAAAAATTTTTCTGAGCTTTTCGGCTTAAAAAAATCTTTCGAAACTGAAAATCGTATTATCACAGCTGTTAGATGTTAAGTTAGAATATTGGGAAGCTCAGAAGGATCAATAAGGCAACTATATAACCCTCATTGAGCAGTTCTACTTAGCAATCGTCCATTTTGCTTTTTATATATTTACCCCTTTACCTATTTAGGGAGTAATGAATTCTTTACAGCAACGACTCTATAGAATTCGCAAACAAATGAGAGGCGTATCAAGTTTTTCATGAATTTATTGGATACATTTCTTAGTTGGTTCAGGGATTCATAAGTAGCTTCCTCAAATTTTTGAGATCTGATAAAATGAAGACTCAGAGCATGTGAGCACTACTAATTATTGAAAGCGATGGGAATATTTTATTATAAGGCACATGAGAATTGCATCATTAGCCTAAATGTATGCTACACAATTTTTGGAATTACGTATTGGTTTATTCGTAGTAAGAATCAAAAGATTTTGCAGTTTTTTGTCATAGAAATAAAAGAGAATACTTTTTGTTTTAAAAATTTGTTTATTAACGATGAAAGTTTTCAACAAAGACAATGAGTTTTTCTAGTTTATTTACAAATGGATGTCCCTTGTTGAATTGCATTGTACTATCCAAGAAAAAAAATTGACGCGCACAGCGCTCCCAGGTCATCCGGCAAAGCAAGCAACTCAACAATTAGCTGACATTTTGGACAAGAGTATGTCGGTAAGTTGGTTATCTAAGGGTCAATTGTGGTCAATAATCCTGTAGCCTAAATGTCGCTGTGTTTAGACAACAATTGGAGCGGCAAGAGTTTTGGCAGCAACGATTGGTGCTGGAGCAGCTACAAGTGGGGCAGCTACAGCCTTGGCGGCAACGACGGGAGCAACAGCGGCAACTGGCACATCCTTTTGGACGACAGCGTTGAAACCGTTGATGGGATCAGCGTAGTAGTTGACAATACGACGAGAACCATCGGGTTCGATCAAAGAGTATGAGCCACGAACGATGTCACCATCACGGGTTTCTTCCTGGGTCTTCGAGTCACCGGTCAAAGCATCCTGCACATTGTAGGCGTAAGTGTACTGTGGATGTGGGTCAACAAAGTCAGAGGCGACAGCAACTGGAGCAGCGACTGGTGCGGCCAAAGCTCTGGGGGCCACAATTGGTGCTGGACCGGCGGCTACCAAGGGTGCTGGAGCGGCAGCCAAAGGAGCAGCTACAGGTGCTGCAAGAGCTCTGGGGGCAAGGAGTGGTGCTGGTGCGGCGTAAGCTCTAACTGGTTTCACAATTGGTGCAGCAGCAGCCAAAGGTGCAGGCGCAGCGGCAACCAAAGGAGCTGGAGCAGCGGCATAACGCGCGTAGAGAGGACCAGCAGCGTAGGCAGCTGGCGCGGCAGCGTATGCGAGTGGTGCAGGCGCGGCGGCGTAAGCCAATGGTGCAGGTGCGGCAACAATACCAGCGTTGGCGGAAAGCGCCAAAGTGGATAGAACAGCGGCAAACTGTGGCGATAGAAAGATAGAAAAAAATTAAGTTCAATGTTTTGAGTTTGTGCTTAAAGGCTACGGCTAAGTGGATAACAAGGCGACAGAGTGCGAAACAAACTGCGGATGAGTTCCAAGCAGGCTTTTATACAAACTAAAAGCAGTTTTTCGCAGCGCTCAGCCTGTGCCTTCATAAAACACGTAATCCAAGTGCGCGCAGCCTCGTCCTCATACTGCACGCAGGATCTGTAGTGATTATCTTGTATGAGCTCAAAATACTTACAACAAATGGACTCATTGTGTGCTTAAGCTGATTAGATTCTCACTGTCGGTTGATTAAAACAAAACTGACATATTTTTTCCAAAATCACGACGCTTTTTATACTTCGAAAATTACTCAGTGTCGACGCACGATGAGACCATAGCAATCGCAGGAGCGAAGAAGACGGTTTTCTAAAATTTGAATATTTGCATTGTAGCGACTGCTCGCCAGCGCTTCCCCTTACTGCGCGTCAATGTCAACGCGCTGAGTTGTGGGGTAACGTACTGAATTTTGCTCTAAAATGTTTTTTGTTTTCAATTTCGGTTGATTTTATTTTTATATATTATTTTCTACCTTTTTTATATATATAATTTTATGTATATATGTATGTATGCACAATGAGTATATGACCTCTTCAGCATTGTAAGCGCGACACTTTTGCGCACGCAGTGCTGCAGTTCGGCGGGTGGTGTGTTATATTCAAGAAGCTACACACGAAGCCCAAACAGCCAATGGCCAAAGACCGTGGATATTTTGAAATTCTACTGGAAAATGCTGGGCACGTAAATCGGGTAAGTCAGCAACGCAAGCGCGTAAGTACTTAAGTATGCGCACATACATATATATCGATACATATATATATTTATATATTATATATGTATGTAAATAACGAAAATTGTATGTAGGTGTAGACGAATTTTATTGCAAAGACAAAATAAGCTTAAAACTACCAAAGAGTGCGACACTCACGCACGTGGTCCGTGGACTGCCTACGACAAAGGTCTGTGCTGCAGTAGCTACTCACACACACATTCATATGTACATGCTTAAGAGTAATGGCAGTGACGTGGTGAATGGCATCTAATTATTGCTAAGAGCTGCGAAAGCGCCAACGCGCAATGGCAATAATTGCAATTCAATGCAAGTAATAAACAGAAAATTAAAAATCGAATTTTTCCACATTGTCTTTGCTTGCTGTAGATTTTTTATCAAAGCAAATTTGTTGTTATAAAATTATAGCAACTTTATGCGCTATTAATACCAGACTTAAATACAGAAGCATTGAACTAGAAATTGCCTAAAAAGAAAGAAGTGAAATAATTTGAGACAATTGAAAAAAAGCTTATGAGTTCAACTCCCAGGAATTTAAATATATTTACTACACTTTTGCACTTTTCTTATAGACGCTAATTTCAATTGATTGGCCAGCGAGTGTTGGGTTGATGAAAAATTTTGGAAAGCTATGCAGGCTTGAGTAGCATATTAAAGAAGAGGAAGAAACATGTTGAGCATGAGAAATAAATGAAATAATCAACGCATCAGCAAAATATTTGAAAACAAGTAAAAACCGAATAAACACACAATTATTTGAGCATATTTGTCAAAACAAGAAGAAAGAGAAGAATTTCAGACCCCATTTGCGTCGCGTGTTAAATGTATTTAAAAGCAATGAGGAAGAACTCGCCGGAGAATTTTTAAATAACACCGAAATTCGCAAGCATTTTTAGTGCAAATAATGTATTTATTGGTCTGGCTCATTAGCTATGTTTGCTGAGTTGTGAGTTGGATTTTAATTATCCAATAGCGGAGTTTCTAAAGATCCAACAATGAATTGGGACACCTCTTACAGTTGGGCAGAATTCATCTTTGAATCAATTTTTTTTTTCGGAGTTGGGCTTTTTGACATCTGCCACTTGATTTATACTCAATCTGCTGTGCCGTTTCACAGTGAATTACTCCGGAAAAACGTTTGTAAATCGAGCAAAATTATTACGAAAACAGTGGTTTAGTTCGCTGCGTCCAATATTCAGTCCACATAATCGCATAGCAGAGTCGGCGATTCGAGCAATCATAGATCGGTTTCGCCCCACGTATTGTTTAAGGTTAATGAGAATTGCATCGCTAGCCTAAATGTATGCTACAAATTTTTCCAAATCCGAATTGAATATCAATGGCAAAAGCCAAACGATTTTTCTGCTTTTTTCCATAAAAACAAAAGAATGAATTTTTTGTTTTAAAAATTTTGTGCCAGAAAGTGATGATGTGCGGAAAGCTTTATTTTTTTTATCATTTAAAGAAAAGTGCTTCGCATCGAATTGTTATTAACGACAAAAAATGAATTTATTTTAAGAATCCCAAGCAAAACTGGTGACTACGCCAATAAAGTGAGCGAATAAAGTCATAGGTTAATCTTGGGCAGCCATTAACAGCATCGACTGCTAAACCGGTTCACTGCGGAAAATAGACAATGCTTTGTGTTTGGTGGAATCAAAATGGGGTGGTGCATCATGAGCTTCTAAAACCTGGTGATACAGTTAATACTATTCGCTACAAGCAGTTAGAAGTACGCAGTCATAGAAAAATGTACAGAATGGGCCACACGACAATGGACCGGCTCATAAAACAAAACTGGTCCAGGATACGATTAAAGAACTTGGCTGGGAGCTACTACCCCACCCGCCGAATTCAGCAGACTTGGCGCTTTCCGACTACTTTTTGTTTTCCTCGATGGGACATGCATTTGGGGATCAGCACTCCGATCCCTACGAAGAAGTCGAAAATTGGGTGTCTGATTGATTTTCTTCCAAGGGTGAATAGTTTTATTGGCGTTGCCAGAAAGATGGTTTATTCTTCCATTTAAAATTAATCTTCCATTTATAGGCTAAATATATATATATATATATATATATAATAGGCGCTGTAAAGCCGCTAAAGCGACTTTCGGCCGAGCTCCTCCTTCGAATTGTGGTTTTACATCTTGATGTTTTTCCAACAACCGGAGTGTCCTACAGTTCATTCCAAGGCCCCTCCAAATGTCCGATGGATTAAATGAGGAATTCATGTGAGAAATACTCTTGGAGAGCTTTAAGTTTCTTTCCGAAGGGTGACAACGTAATCAATAAAAAAAAAACATTGCGCTCCACTTTGATATGACATTGAGCAGCGAATATTAATTTCCGTTAATTAACCTTTTGTAGCAAATAAATAATGCAAAATTCCTATTAACTGTTAACAAATTCTTTCTCAAACATTTTCAAATATTTAATTAAGGACTCTGCTTTGGGACTCTGCTTTTTTGAATGTTTAATGAAACAAGTGGTTAATTGTGCTGCTACATTGTTGTGATCCGCAATATTGCGTGTACCCAAGAGACTAAACGCCAACAATGTCCGTAGCAAGTGACGATGGGCGATTGGCGATTGTCGATTGCCGATTGGCGAGCGGCGAGTGACGAGTGGGTACACCTTTTAATCCATTTCGCGAACAGGTTATAGAAACGCTGCCTAATTGATGCATTTTTAATAATGTGCCAATTTGGTCACACCACCGCCACAAACCAAGCAACAAACGCCATGAAATGCACGCAGACGCAGCCCCAACCGGCGCAGAACAAAACCGACTGCGACTGCAACTGCGACCCGACAATAAATAGAAGTGCGACAAAAGTGAATGGCAAATGGCCGCGACGGTTGATTGTACATTGTGATATGCGACAGGCCAAAGCCCAAATGAGAGCAGCAGCAGACGGAGCGGCAGCCACAAGCGCCGTCGTTTGCACGCTGCAGTCGCTGCTGTCGGCGCACCGTCCGTCGGGCATTACCAATACGCCTTGGCTCTAGATCTAAGCAATATTGTGCAATTATTCCTTTTCATTTTTGTACTTTTTTCATCTTGAGCGGCGTTCTTTTTTTAGTTTTTGCTAGCATCTAGTAAATTTAGTTATTAATTCATTTGCAGGAATAGCTATTAGCCATTAAAAGGGTATGCGGCGTACGCAACACGGCAACAACAACTCAAACATTTGTATATACGCTTGTTAATTTATGGCCTAATGCGCGTATGCGCCTATGTCTGTATGTCAGTGTGCTGCGAAATCATTACAAGCAAATCTCAATCTCTAGATCGCAACAACGTTTCCGCTGGCGTAAAGCGAGCAGCGGCGTGCCACAGCTTAAAGCGGTCGCCAAAAAATGTCGCGAGCCAAAAATGACACGCGTGTTACAAGTGTTTGAGTGTGAGTATGTGTTTTCGAAAAGAACATTAATGCTGTAAGTATGTATAAGTATGCCTTTTGAATTTGGACAAACATTTTTGAGTAAATTATTTTTATACCCAACATAAAATTCCACACTTTTCTATAGAAAAAATAGAAAATCTAGGGCTTCGATGAGGCAACTGGAGAGGTCGGTCAAAAGACATTTAGATTGTGGTTGAACTTTCACAAAGTACTAGACTATACCAACTCAATTCAGCACCTTGAACAGCTATCGCTGGACTGGACGGCGTACCGTCAGGCTATAAAGGTCTTAAACCTTTATAAACTCCCTTCCAGTGAATGGTGTTCTCGGCGTCGAGGACCACATGCGGCAAACGACAAGTTCAAGCTACTACAGATGGTGGTTGAGTTCGGATTGAGTAATTGCGTCTAGCCTTTCTATTAAGTAGTACTTCGTTCCAGATCTGCCTAAGGATGAATGCTGTCAGCAAATATTGTTTTCAAGGCATAACATTATGCTTCTTTACTGCAAGCAAAGATACCACACAATGTAGGTGATGCAAAGACGAAATCAGAAAGTGTACAGTTATTTTCTTCAAAACGGTATTTTGACAGAATTGTAATATCTTCATTTGTGCTTCACTAGTTCCAGGTATTCAAAACCCTATCTCATTATATATAACAACAACGTTTCTTCGTTTTTGTCTCAGGTGCTGCCAATTAGCGGGACGATTTGAAGATATTCCAATCCAGATGATATTCTATTGTTCAGCTGGTAAAAAGTGTCGTGGTCGTGGCTTTAGATGGTTAGAGCGATTGATGTCTGACTGTAAAGAAGGGAAAAATGCCGGAGAAAAGACACTTTACTTTCGAGCAGGGGTTACCAGGACAGGCAAACGCCAAAACCGAGCAATTATCGACATACGACATCAAGTAGAATTCCTCCGGTGAGATTGCGCGTCTTCGATTGCCATAACACCAGCACACATCGGAGTCGCCGGTTTTTTTTTTGACCCAGGGCTATAGCTTTTTTGGCAGACCTTACATATTTATATTTATAATAAGGCTTTGTACTGAATGACTGACGAATCAACCTACAGCCTAAAA